ATGAAGGAAAATTTTGGTCATTTTGGGCACTTTGATTGTCAATGCTCTGTGACTGCGCACACGTTTTGCGTTTCCATTCAAAAACTCGCTATTTACGATGAACGTCACTCGTCACTCGCACGTATAAATCACTTGTGAAGATCAGACGACCTAAAATCATAGCTTTCAGCCTGCGAAATAGATATGAAACCATTTCATCTCCTATGATACAAATTTAGGCCGTATTGGAAGGAGTTTCATGTGGATGGCACCACTGTTTTGTGGTATCAGGGCGCGAGAGAAAATCGATTCTTGAGAATACCAGGTTGGGGTAAATTCTCGCAGAAATGGTTCAGGCAAGCTTTCCCAGAGCGATACAGTGATGTCGATGTGAAAGGTGTGTGTCTGCTTTCAGCAAGATTGTGCATTATCCGAAGAATCCTTTGGAAGGTTCAGGTCACGTTGGGAAGGGTGGGACATGCATCAAGATGCAGAGAGTACGCATGAGCTCCATGGAGTGGAGGAGCATCGCCCAGCTTGGAACATGGAAGGGCTTCATCCATATCAGCACCTCGTTTCCCCTCGCCACCCATTTTTTGGCTCATTTCAGCGTACACCTCCCCCTCCCTTCTAATGGGTACATGCACTGAAATGAGCAGCGCTGAACGCAGAGCTTCCTCATTCAATTCCAAAACAGCCTAAGAACCGAAAATGGGTAAAAGGGAACGAGGTGGTTGACGAACGAAACCTTCTTTGGTGGACGTGACGTTCTCACGGTAGACGATGCTTGCTACATGAACTTTTAACTCGGTTCGAAGACACCTCAGAGATCAGCAGGAGTAAGACTGGAATCTATATAAACCTAAAGATGCCTGAAACCAGCGGAGTCCGCCCTGTATGGGCTGAGCATGTCCCTAACTTGGTGGAGACCTTCTCGGGCAGTCATAAATGTATTCCTATTGATGTCACCTCAAGAAAGGAACAGACAAAGTGGGGTGATGCTGTCGTAGGGTGGTATGACCCATGAAATGATAAAGAATAGTCTTGCACCAATCAACGCCCTCCAATCAGTTTTGGGGCGCGCCACGCATTATACTTCTACTCAGAATGTAGCTGCACAATATGTCGTAGCGATCTGACCTTTACAACAGTTTGCGTGCAGTCAGCTGATGTCACAGATCAGCGTTACTATCCTTCCAGACAGCTCTGGTATCTATTAGCCGACCTCGGCGAATAGAATGCTTAATTTGTTGCTGGACGACGCATTCGTCGAGAGTGTGATCTGTGCGCACCGTGGCGTGTATGTAGGAAACAGCGCCGGTTTGCCAACACGACCTCTTCCTCCCTTATAATGCTCAACTTAGCCTTTTGAAGGGAAGTCTTCCTGTGTGTGTTAAGCGTCAGTGTGCGGTGACCGAGCTAGTTGGTAGTAAAGAGCGCTAAATATAGCAAAGATATCGCTATAGTAAACAAAACTCAATCCCAAGTATTACTTCTGTCATGGTTTCTTCTGCTTTCTGTTCTGTCACGCATATTCCGCTATGTATCACTGGGTGGCGCTCAACTTTTCTGAAACTCTTGCTATCCATCTTTCTGTCAATACTATTTATATTTCACTTACACTTCATAAAATCATTGAAAGCCTCACATTTCTGTTTTTTATCTGTCTTTATTTCAGCAGTCTGTTTTCCATCTTTCCTTCTTCTAAATTCATAACTTTCATAGTTTTTTTTCACACCACGTTTCCAATTCCTCTAACATCCAAGTTCCAAAACCGCAGAGTGAATATCATTCTCCTCTTCAGGTGGGTTTTCTTGGATCAGTACATCTCTACTTGCTCACATAAAACCCGAGTCTAATCATAAGCTTGAGCCTAACACCAGGCCTAAGCATAACTCTGTGATTTTAAGTCTACCGGAGACTAGTCTTATGTCTAAACCTGAAGCTTCAATCGTCGCGTAGCTCAGGTGACCTGACCTAGGAGAAGAACTAACATCTCCTTTTGCTCCATTACTACCAAATCAGCAACTATGAACTAGACCGCTCTTTTTGCAGCTTAGCGCTGGTCGAAAAAAGTGCAGACGATGTTTCCCATGGCTACACTCTAGCTAGTGGACTTTGCACTCCACACCCATTGTCGCCGAATTCTTTCTTTTCACTCACCTGCTTCTTTGCCACAAGCTCACCTTAGAATGTTCTTTTTCAACACATAGATTACCAGTTCTTATACTTTTGTTCCGCTTACTTCTTTTGAATAATTTACGGCAATGAAAAAAATCCTAATCAGCTGAGGTCTCATTCCTTCGAAAATTTTCGAGAGCAGCATCGGACATACGTCACATGGTCAAACATCAAATGAGGTAGCCTTGAAAGTGAGAGCGTGGGGGGTAGGTAGGGGAAAGGGGAAGATATGAGCGAGTGGCTGACTGTTTTTTTTTTCGCGAGGGTTAACATGGGAGGTCTTTCAGGACATGGAGCGTTTTTTTCAAAATGGTTTTGAATGTTGTAGGGCTCATGTGAGGAACACAGAACCATGGTCCATTTTTCCTGAACGCCCCCAGGAATGTCAAAACAGCGGGGAAGAAATGGTCCAAAGTTCGATCCTCCGTGATGACAAATTTTTGCAATTTTTGTTGGCGCCTTGCCGCAAAACACGACAGAGTCATCTATTCTGACTTATATTATTTATTTTATTCTTATTCGGACGATCGCGCCATTTGGCGGCAATCTGGGGGCGCCAAACTATATTGCAAAAATTAGTCATCACCGGGGATCGAACTCTGGACCATTTCTTCACCACTGTTTTGACATTCCTGGAGGCGTTCAGGAAAAATGGATCATGGTTCTGTGTTCCTCGCATGAGCCCCTACAACATGCAGAAAACCGTTTCGAAAAAGTCATCCTGGTTGGGTCGACGATGTTTTTTCTTCCAAAAAGAGAGGGGATAGGATTTTCAAGGCAGCTTGGAGAATGGATAAAATCCAGAATTTTTTGAGTGTACGATATTTCACTTTAGCACTGATGTGACCTGAATTTGGCTAATTGCCTAAAAGAAATGTTAGATATCCAAATGTTCATTGCAGAAGAGTCGAAGGTTTTTAGAAACGTAGCAAAGATTTTCAAGTCCCGTATGTGGGGTTCTTCATTAGTATTTATTTACATTTATAGATCTCTGCTGTGTTAACGGTTATTGCACATTTTACTCTGTTTTCCACGGCCGAACGTGTCGTAATTACAGATTATGTCCCAAAACATACTGCATATGCTTCTGATGCTCTTGATGTCATCTGATGCCACACATATTACCTGTTCTGCAATTACGACACGTCTCTGCACGGAAACTACGTATTTATATGCACCTCCCGACGAATCGACGTCAAAATTTTGAGAAGTGGAAAACTGGTGGTTGTTGATTGTGGTAGTTAGAGGAAGGACACTCGTGGTAGGAGAGAAATGAAGGCCCCCGTTGTTTGTAAACAAGCGTAGGGAGTCTCCAAGTCCTCAGACGGTGTGGGATCATCCCTTCTTGTCGTGGAACGGTTTAATACGTTACCCTCTCTGACCTCGTATTCGCTCAACATGGTGCATGACCCTGGTGTGGTATACATATCAGGGGTTGAAATTGGCCTCAACCCACGACGCCAAATTTGAGATGCCTTTGGTTTGGCCTGATAGAAGGGTTTTTGCCCTCTGATATCGACCAGTAGTGTGCTACATCAAGGAGAACATAGTTGTAGAGCTTTTATTGACGCTCATGGCGCAGGGGGGGGGGGCATTCAAAAAGGGCCGATGACAGGTGACACTAGGAGAAAGTGTCAGGGAAACACAAATTGCTCTACTATAGAATCTCTTCCCTTCTCTGAGGCTTAGTCCCAGTGGTGAAAGTAGCCCTTTCACTGGAATCCCCCCCCCCTCTCCCATCCACCCCCTATGCGCTTTACATCTACAAAACCCCTCTCCCCGAGACATGAGCGCCTTTCAATTTCGTGGAAATAGTATGAAGTTTGTTTGGCATACTACACAACAAACTGTAACACGGACGCCCCTACCACTAGCCCCGTAGCCCTAGCCCCACCCGCCACCACCCCCGTGTGCTTGGATCTGCCAGAGCTTGTGGCTATCCAAACCACCAATAGACTTCAAATTGGCTTTTCTGTCACAATGAATGGATAGACATGCACAAGCGGGCGGGAAGTAACTCATTTTGATAATCTCTACTTGACTGAGTATAGGGCGCCATTCGTTGCGGGACCCATTGCCTTAACCCGCGGGGCTCCCATGCGATCGCGGGAACATTCCAGCTTCTCACGCATGTCAAGTGACTGCCCTCACCCCCCCCCCCCCCCCCCCTAGACTGGCGGCACTGCCCCTGGCTCACGGATTCCCCGCTCCACATTGAAGGGTTCACTGTAGCAGGAGGCAGTGGGACCCGTAACGAATGGCGCCCTTTACTTAGTCAAGTAGGAGTACAAAACGATGGCTCCAACAGGGCGCACGCATAGTCGGTCGTCCGACAGCAACGATCGCAACTGTCTGACTGTCTAACTGCATCTAATCGTCGAATACTCAGGCAAGTCCGACGATCGATACGCATCCAATGCTGTGCGACAGTTACGATCGTTGCTGTCGTCCGACCGACTATGCGTGCGCCTACAAGCGGCCTCGTTCAACACTGGCACAAAGTGTCGACAGGACCCCTAGCGCTTGGGGGCGGGGCGAGGCCATGCCGCGGATCGAAGTGAGCGGCGTCTCAGCGCCCCATTTTGATGCTCTCTGTGGTTGCTTATCTGTTTTCTTGGAACTAATCACTGACAACGATTTTATTACGTAGATGGAATTGGCTGTTACCTGACCTAATCAACTAATCAGAAAAGACCCAACAGTGAGTTTTACCTAGAATTTTCGATTTCCATTTAAAACTGCTTATTTCATCCTGTTCTTTTTTGGAATTGGTTTTTGATATTTATTGTTTGCGCTTTGCATGTTGTGATACTGATGCATACTTCATGGGTGTGTTTCAGTTTACTCGCACGGCTCATCACGATGTTGGCTTACATCGGTGTTGTTATCGTCGTTTTGCCGACATCATTATGGCTGTATTCAAGGATTTCCTCTAAAGTACGTTGAATGTTTCATGGGAAAGGCACTTTATCTCGCTGCAAAAATATAATACAAATATGGTAATCAATTTCAGAAACCACAAATCTATGCAAAAGCGGATGGGTCCCTTTTGGTTAGAGTCAAGAAGAATGTGCCAGCTCTGCAAAAAGTATGTATTCATGATTTTTTCACCAATTTGTTATTATTGATCCATAGTTTTTCATAGTTAGTGGGAGCTCAGTTCTCATGTCGCTAGGAGGGACATCCATGTGATGAAATGTCTACAGCACTTGGGACTGAGGTTTAAGGGGGGGGGGGGGGGGTTTACGGACTACTTGCACTTTCGTCTATGATCCTGCCACGAATGGCGGAGAGCACAGACGATCAGAGAATGGCGCCTGGCTCGGCTCCAAATCCCAAGGAGGGAGGTGAGAGCCTTAGGACTAAGCCTTGTAAGGGGGAGGGAATCCGAGGTGGGTGAGCCAGTTGCATTGTGGCAAAAGTTTGAATGTGTGAGATCGCAGTGGTGATCAGCCGCGCTGATAAGATGAGAGAGCGCAGACGAAAGCGTCGAGTGAAGATAAGGCTGAGTTAAGTGTCCGTCGACCGGGGGGGAGGACGCAGAAAGGATGTGAGCCATATTTTGTTTCCTAGGTGCTTCCTCTCCTGGGTTGTCCACGAAAGGCGTTTCCAAGATTCCAGCAACTGTTGATGTGGGCAGGTAAATTTGATAGGCCTAGAATGTTTTGGTCAAATGAAGCAAAACTGCTACGAAATGACTATGGAATTGTGAGCGACCAAAGTTGGGAGTTAATGTCGTTTGGGTATTGATATTTGTGTGTGGTTGCTGAGGACGGGGAGCGATTTTCGCGCTTTGGCACCACGACATTTTTGCCTTCGGGATAGGTCCACGCTGGACATGATAGACGCTGTAATTTCCGTAGAGAAATGTTTTGCGATGCGAAGGCCGAAAGTCGTTTCTCTCTCTCTTCTCACCACCCAGTGATTGTTCCCACTTGTGCACGTGCATTTCAACATAGGAGAGGGGGCTAGATTCTGTGGACGAATTAGTCATTTTGGTTCTCACTGGGGTTTTTCCTCGGCACTGATGTTGTTAGGGGTGGGGAGGGGCATCTATGCGGAGAGGCTAACCCACTTGGAACACAACACTCACATCAATTGTAAAGGAATTTAATACTCGAAATTCCTTTTCGATCAAGAAAATGGGGACCGGGTGAAGTTGAAGAGGAGCCGGGGTTTTGTGTGAAAATGTCGTGCTCTGTAGGTCAGACTCTTTTGGTTTTGGCGTACCTAATAGCTTCCACGGCTTTACCATGTGGCCTTTTTCCTTTGTATTCCGTATGATTATTGCTGGCGTGTCCTGTGTTTCTTTCCTGCCGGGGTATATTAGTCGATGCTACCCACACGGCTCTTGATTCAATGGGTTCCGGTTAGGGGTTGCTGGGTGGGTAGGGGTAAATATTTATATTTGAAGAAACGGCAGATCTTTAATTGATATCCATTCCACCTCTCCTTTGCGATGTTTTTTCGTTAGAATCGTCAAATAGTTACCCCTTGCTTCTTTGAAGGACAACTTTTTCTCCTGCAACGACGATCTTCAACTCCACAAATACGACTCCTTCTCTTCTCGACTTTTTGATCTTGCATCCTTGTGTGCTCCCCTATTTAGACCGCGGATGGATTCTTTTCTTTCTTCTATGGCCCAAACTAAGCGCTATCTTCAATCCGTCGTGGCTGATGTTCTCAAACCGGAGGAACAGCTTTGGCGCTGCAAGAAGCGGAGAATTCGCTCTCTGTCCTTGCGAACCACTTGTCAGAAAAGCAAGATTTCAGCGACTTTGAAAGACCATTGCCACACGGCATTCTATTCAAAATTTGGTCGCTACTTGTTTTTCCAAACGTTGAGGTTATTTTTTTTTTATTTAATAGGGAAGAGTAATAAAGAGGTTGGGTTCTCCGCATAGAGATACTCTCCCCTAACGACAGCAGCGCCCTTTCCTCTTTCCAGGCATAGGCTAGGATTTTTCTTCCTTTTAGAAGGGTGCGGTGTGGTTCACTAGGACAGGAAACGACCTTTTCGCTTTTTGCAGCGCGGAACTGGTCCGCTGCGAGAACCCCTAGTTTTGCGGAGGACCTGGGGTTCTCACAGCGAAACAGTTCTTCGTTGCGAAAAGCAAAAATTCGCTTTCTGCTCTGGCGACCTTAATCCTTTCAAATGTGGAAAGTTATGGGTTACCGTAACACTGGCGTTGTACGGCAGGCGGCTTGCATCGAGGTAGGAATAGGGTATTGTGGTCTTGTATGAACGCTTTGGATTGTAATCGTCCCTATACCTCACAAAAATCCTAAGTTACCCCTCCTCTTTAGGGTGTATCAAGTGCAGCGGGAGAATTGTATCTGAATTGGATTCCCAAGGGACGTTCTCGAATTTATTTGTTTTTACTCACACGCTTCCTTTCCGTTATTCAAGGCTTTATTACATACGTGTTTTTCGTTACATTTGGCAGGAAACATAAATTCAAAGGTCTCTCGGGATCACGGTAGTTGAGCGTAAAAGCCTCAGCTTGCGTAGATGCACGGAAGCAGCTCAAACTCTGCATCCTGTTTTCGCCTTCAAATGAGAATTTTCATGGTATTGCTGTTTAGGATTTAATTGTGATGTTCTTCAGGTCTATAGAATACCATGGTGGTGTCCATTTGGCGATGCGCAAACGATCGTAAATGGTGCGTTGAGGAAATGTCCGACATTGCCATTTGTCAGGTCGGTTCCTTGTTTGCTTTTTATCTTGCTGAGGTTGTTTTGCTTTCACTCTTGCCTACTTTTGCTAGTGTTCACTACGGCAGCGGTTTGAGAATAACCCAGTTCCCATTGACCTGAGTGCAGTAGTCAACTTGATCGTAGCCTAATGGGCTGGTACAATCCTTCAAAAGGTTTATCTGGAATATTCTTTCTGTACTAATGTCACCACCAACCAAGAGTCCCTGCTCAGTGTTTCAC